CACAGTTATAAAACAAGGTGTTACCGTCACTAATTTTACCCTCATGTTAGACAGTGCATGAGACAAACTGGATCTTTCGAGAACCCTCTATTGATAGCTAACGGTTGGCCCAATGCGTTAGTTCAATTCTCAGCGAAGGCCATCTACGTTTCTCGTAACTCAGAAGTCAGAGATTCTGAAACCACAAAATGATCGTTGAGGTTCCATGCCCCTTCTAGCGCCATAAACTTTTTAGAATTCGGAAATGTTTGTAATTTCAGTTAGGCGTGATAGTACTCTTCACCTACCATGCTCCATCATGACCTTCCCATTGGGATTGTTGGGCAAAGTGAAGCCATATTCCATCCATAGACGGGCATTGTCATGCGGTCCATAGCATACAGTCACCTGCTGATCTTCAAGTATATAATGTGATGCCCGAACCACATACTTCTTGGAATACCTTTCGAACGTAGCCAAGCACTGAAAATAAAACATCGTGACGCTGTGAAAGTACCCGGTTGGGCAATGCATACCTGGGCACTTGGATCATGATTAAGCATGTCGACAAAAGGCACTACAGCTAAAGTGTCTGAAAAAAAAGAGGTATGACATATTAAGCGGCAGACACTACTGCCAGTCTGAAAGTACATTTCACGACACGCATGAGTGGAAATTCACAACGACTCTATATTAGTTGCCCCTCATTCTACTATGGTAACGAGGAGTGGGCGCTGGTGAGGGAAAACAATGCTTTCATGTCCCTCCCACCTCATTTCCGCGAAATGCATCTGTGAGCGTAAATGTGCTATAGGCGCAATCCATTTGTCGTCAGGAGCTTTATTCAAAAGAATGGAATGTTCATGAGAAAAATAGCTGCTGAAAATCACACCACTGAAATGGTCAGATACAAAAGGTGGAGCCAAAAATCGCTTTGCCCATAACACGTTTCACCTAAAGACAATGTTGCAACTGTTATGTGGAACTCCCTGGGCTCGCGATTTGTTTCGCTAAAGCAACACTTCACCCTTCTGATCGGGCACGTCCTGTTGTTGGAGAAGCTATGCAAAATACGACTCATCCCTTTCCCAGACCCCACTATATCTAGTCTCTTCCTAAATCCTTCCAACTTCTTGGCATTTTTTTCGACTTTGCTATGGAAATTTTTCACTTTTCCCCAAGAAACTGTCTTTGAAAGGGGGGGGGGAGTATGGTGCACGTAAAACGGGGAAAAACGCACCGAAAACGAGGAAACTCAACAATCGAAAATATTTTCGCAGAAGTACGACCTTCCGCTCCTGCCAGCAACCAGATGTGGCCCCGTTGCGGGGATCTCCAACGCATGACGTGCCTTTCTTCCAAAAACCATAAGAAAAGGGGTGAATTTGTTCTAACTATGAAGTTTTTAATTTTTCTACTGGGACGGAGCTAATTTTCAAATTTCGCAAAGGAAGACGATTTTGTCGAAGGAACAGGCAGCTGATGGTTAGAAAAAGCGACGACGTATGAGTACAGCGAGTGAAGTGGCTATTAAGACCGACTACATCGCGTCTGCGTGGTTCTCGCTCTTCAGATTACGCGCTCGCCGAGTGAGCGGATACGGGGAATGCAGGGTGTTCCAATGATAGGCATTAATGATTGGCTGTCTCCTCCCAATCAACTACCGCGGAATGTGTCTTAGATGCTCAATCCTTTTATCTACCACACTACTCAAGAGAAAAGCTCCTTGGCAACAGTAGGAACTGTTTGAAGGAGCGCGTGTGTGTGATAGTCACTTCTTGCCACTCTTCGACTTAATCACTTATTATGAACCGATAGATATCATATTCCGGGCCAAATGTGACGAATGACCATCCCCCTTTTCTCACCTCCAGCCGAATTATCAACGCTTGCATGTGGTTTGTTTTCCACATAGATACATCGCGTATTGACCACGTGCCATGCCCATAAGAATCTCTCATACGTTATGTCTGGACATGCTTGCTCGATCTGAACGACGGCTGCTCTCAGTTGTGACTCCATCATCCTAGTCTACTCACCTTATTCCATGACTCTCGCAGATCCTTCTGCTGCGTACACCAACAGTCTCGAACTGATGAAGGTAAATGGGCTGGATCGGAAGAGCTTCTT